TCCGTTTTGCAGCCTTCTTCCTCTTACCTTGCGATGACGTCCTTTGTAGACGACGGCAAAGGCGCCGTGGCCCAGCATATCCTTGGAGCTATATTCATATTCCCCGACAATATTCATTGCATGCGAATATCCAAAAAGGAGGAGGATGCGACGCCTGGAAGTGCTGCTCTCTCCGTCGCCCGCTCTCTCTTTCTCTTGGACACCCCCTCGCTCTCACACACACACACTTGTTCTTCCCTTCTCTGCTTCCAATTGCAATTGTGGAAAATCAATTTCTTTTCTTTCAGGCAGCCACTAAAAGGGATTTTTTGGCCCCCGACGATCTCTGGCTTTTTCACGTAACACCTCCGTTGAATTTACTGTCCACCTGGCCAGTTGACAATTATCGGGCACTCACTTTAATTTCACTTGTAATTGAATTAAACTGTTCTTTTCCGTGTGTGATTGTGTCGGTTTTTTCAGTGTGGTATTGCTTTTAATTTGCAGTCCCACACTAGCATTCACACACGCACACACACGACTGGATTGATGGCACACACACTCGCAAACACGCACTGTAAGATTTTCTTTTGGTTTTTGGAAAATTTGTCTTTTTGGTCCCAGCGAAAACTTTGCAAAACTCAATTGTCCAACTACTTCGCGAGAGAGACTGGAAAAAGGTAAGACGAAAACACAACTGAGCAAGTCAGTGGTGGTGGGGTTGGCCAGTGTGACCGAAGGCGTCGAGGAGCAATACACCCCCACAGCTGGGAAAATATACTAAACGTAAATAACTCAAAATAAAATGTTTGTTTTGGTTAGATATTTTATTAATAATAACTAAAACTTAAAACTGGTCTTTAATTTAACTTAAGTAATCTATTTGTTGTATAATGGTAATATATAAATTTAATACATTTTTATCTAAGTTATTTTAATTTTATCTGATAAAATGTTTTTACTTATAAAATAAATATTCCGGAAAACAAGAAATGTTTGATATATTTTAATATGCTAAGAATAAGATTTGTCCGAACCTACTATCATTTGGTATTTTTTGCGAAGGCCGAGAATATTTAACTAGCAACATATGGTAACACTAACAATTGATAAGCCAAGAGCAGCAAATCAAAACAAAAATAAAATACTGTTTATTTTAAAGGAAGTGAGGCTAAATTAGCCCACGCTCATTCGCTCACACGAGGAACTGCTTTTAATTAGCAGTTAGAAAGGCTAGTAAGTCAGATAAAGCGTCAAAATACCGCGATTCCCAAGTTGCCTACCGAGAAGATCATTTGCTGCTACACGTGCAAACAGTTGATTTATATTTGTTGATAATGGGTGCGTCAAAAATAGTCCAGAATTCGGGTATGTAATGCAACATGTTAAAGAAAATTGCTTAACTTCTAAAAACTATTTATTTTAGGCAAAAGCCGAAACTCTAAAAACCCTAAAAAAGCATCTATCAGCAAAGCAACCAAAACATCAAAAAAGCCTTCCGTCGATGTAAGTATGAAGAATGAAGATCCTTCTGAAAGAACAAGTTCAAGGAACGCAGCCAAGAAAAGTCCTGAAAATGGTCCCAAAACAGCAGAAAAGAGACATTCCGCTAAGGATACAGAAACTAAAACCTCTAAAAGACACCGCATCGAAGAAAATATTACACATACAGAGGAAATTCAATTTGCTAAAAATTTAATTGGTAAGCAAGGAACACCCGCATTTAATGAGTTTCTCGATTTTTTAATTGAGAAAAAAAGTCTTAAAGTTCTTAAAGAAAAAGGAATAAAGACAGCAAGTATGTCTAGTATTTTAGACAAGTCATATAATAATGCCTACAAATCCTTCAACGATCTATATAACCTGTGGCTTGATGAACATGGAAATAAAACACGATATTTAACCACTTTGGAAGAGGAAGGGATAAATTTATCGAATATGTCCAGCATTTTAAGTGGGTCAGGATCAAATTCTGCCAAATCTTTCAAAGAATTGTTTAAGCTGTGGTTTGACGAGCAAGGAAATAAAACACAATATCTAAAAACATTAGAGGAAGAAGGTATCAACTTACCGAACATGTCTAGTATCCTAAGCAAAGCAGGACCAAATGCTGCAAAAGCTTTCAAGGACTTGTATGACCTATGGTTCGATGAGCAAGGAAATAAAACGCAATATTTGAAAACTTTGGAAAAAGAAGGAATAAACCTGCCTAATATGTCCAGTATTTTGAATGGTGCTGGATTAAATGCTGTCAAAGCTTTTAAAGAATTGTATGACCTATGGTTTGACCATCAAGGAAACAAAACGCGATACTTGAAAACTTTAGAAAAGGAAGGCATAAATCTATCTAATGTGTCCGGTATTTTGAGCAGAGCAAAGACAAATGCTGCAAAATCATTTAAAGACTTGTATAACATCTGGTTCGATGAGCAAGGAAATAAAACGAAATATTTAAAAACTCTGGAAAAACATGGGATAAATCTAAGAAATGTATCCAGTATTTTAGGCGGAGCAGGATCAAATGCAGCGAAGGCTTTTAAAGCCTTATATGAACTGTGGTTTGATGAACGCGGAAAGAAAACTCAACAATTAAGAACTCTAGAAGAAAAAGGAATTAATTTACCCAATGTGTCCAGTATCTTACATAGGGCAGGATCCAATGCGGCAAAGGCTTTCAAGGATCTATACGACCTGTGGTTCGATGAACAAGGAAGTAAAACCAAATGTTTGAAAACCTTGGAAAAAGAAGGAATAAGTCTTGCAAACATTTCCGATATTCTACATGGAGCTGGGTTTAATGCTGCCAAAGCTTTTAAAGAGTTGTATGACCTGTTGTTCGATAATCAATCAAATAGAACACAGTTTTTGAAAACATTAGAAAAAGAAGAAATTAACTTGGCCACTATATCAAGTATTTTGAGTGGATCAGGCTCCAATGCTGCAAAAGCCTTTAAAGACTTGTACAACCTGTGGTTTGACGAAGATGGAAAGAAAGCTAAATATTTTAAAAGTTTGGGAGAAGAAGGAATAAACCTTTCCAATATGTCCAGTATTTTAAGTAAATCTGGATCTAATGCACCTAAAGCTTTTAAAAACTTGTATGGAATATGGTTTGATGAAAGGGGAAAGAAAACTCTTCAACTAAAAGCTCTAGAAAAGGAAGGAGTAAACATTGCTAATGTTTCAAGTATTTTACATGGTGGGGGCTTGAATGCTCCCAAAGCCTTTAAAGAGTTATGTGATCTTTGGTTTGACGAAGATGGAAAGAAGACACAATACCTAAAAACCCTCGAAAAAGAAGGGGTAAATCTTACTAATATGTCCAGCATTTTAAGTGGGGCAGGAGTTCATGCTCCAAAGTCATTTAAGGATTTATACAATGCTTTTTTCAATGACAAAGGAAAGAAAACACGACATTTAAAACATTTTATGAAAGGAAAGGGTGAGGAGAATTTCTCCATGCATAACCTATCCGGTATTCTGAGCGGATCGGGAGCTAAGGCCGTAGATGCTTTTGAAGAATTTCATAATGCCTGTTTCAATAGCGAAGGAAAGAGAACAAAAATATTGGATGATTTTTATAGTATAGGATTTAGGCCAAGTAACCTGTCCTCCATATTATGTAGAGGTGGAATTCGTGCTTCTTCAATTTTAAAAAGCTTCTATAGTGTTTGTTTTAATGAAGAAGGAGAGAAATCAACAATTCTACAGGATTTCTATAATATAGGTTTTAAGCCAGTAGATTTATGCAGTTTATTAAGTGGCACAGCAGGTGGCTTAGAAAGATTGCACGAATTTTGCTTTGTAGAAGAGTCAAAGATGTATCTTAATCATTTCTTGGATGATATAGAAGGCTTTACGCTGAGTAATTTGTGTAACATATTGCATGGAGCAGAGGATAACGCTTGTTCGGCTCTAAAAGATTTTCATAATATTTGTTATGATAATAACGGTAACAAAACCATATTTTTAGATGATTTTTATAATTCTAATTTTAGTTCTAGTGATCTAGCTGGTATTTTATCGATGACTGGTAATAATGCTTCTTCTATTTTAAGAAGTTTTCATGAATCTTGTTTTAATAATGAACGATATTTAAATCACTTCTTGGCTAAAGATAAAGTTTTTAAGCCGAAAGATTTATCCAAAATATTATATGGAGCAGGCACTAATGTTTGTCGTACTTTTGAAAAATTTCATGGTCTTTGTTTTGATGAAGTAGGACACAAAACAAAATATTTAAACAGTCTTATTAAAGACTACCCATCAACTGAGATAATTAATATACTATATAAAAAACTTAGGTGATATATCTTAACTTTTATAGATAATAAGAGTTTGATAATAAAAGTGGAATTTGTTTAGGGGTAACGAAAGACAAAATAGGAATATACAACCACCATCAGCCAATTTTTATATAGATAGAAATGCATATATAATACATACGAATTTTAATTTTAAATAAAAATATATAAATAAAAAAAATGTAAGAGAGCAAAATTAATAAAACATGCATGAATGTAATATTCTGTGATTTTTGTAAAAATCAATTCAAATGAGTAAGTTCCTAGGAGTAGCAGGACAAATAAACAAATAAAATCGTGGTTTATCTGAAGTATTTAAATATTATACAAATATTTTTTAATCATAGTTTTTAGAAACATTTCATTTTTCTTAACAAATTTAATATATAAAGTTAAGATCATGTTATTGGGTAATTCTATCTTATGTTTTCAAAACATGTCTGGCTTATTGGCTTAGCCTTAAAAAGTTTTTATAGCTTATGAATATTTGCAAGTTAATGTTGTATTAATTATTTCGGCATTAATCAATAATCAATGACAATAGCGGATGCCAACACCGCAGGTAGCGGGGACACAAACCACAATTTGGGAATAATTTCACCTCAGCTAGCGAATACATACTCCGCCGTTATCGGAGACCTCCTCAGATAGAGATGGCAAAATATCGATGATTCTTGCCAAACCTCGATACCAACGCTGGTTCGATGCGAGCATCGATGTTATTCCACCTCTAGAGCAGCAGCAAAACATAAGTAAAATTCGCTTAACTAATAGAAAGCTCGGTGAAAATCGTAAAAAAAAGTTCGCTTGGCCGTGGAAGTATTTCTAATCAGCAAAAGAGGCAAGTTGCTACAATAAAATATTGAAACATCGCAGCTTTTGGCTTGTTTTTGAATGCTATTGATTGCAGAGAATATGTGGATACATAGTGAACAGTGATAAGAAGAGAAAGAGGGTAGAGATGTAAAACGTGGAAATCTGATTCGAAATTGTTGTGTTTTCCAGGAAATCGCAATTTAATACTGCAAGGATGAGTGCGTCTAGTGAAGGTGGTACAGGGGGAGTACCAGTGGGTGGAAGTACAGCTACAGCGCCATCAGGTAAGTTCACCGATATCCAAGTGGATTATTTATATTTATATACGTATGATGTATGTGCAAGCCCTAGCATTGTGCGCGTGTATGCGTGTGTATACATAATATTTGTGCACCTCTCTCTGTTGCTCTTTCTGTATTGTGATTGTTTTGTTGTTACTGTGCATTCGTGGCAGGGTTGCCAACAGCCCTAGAAAGTAATTGTTCTTCTCGACTAACATATTGTCTAAATCGTTGGGTTTTGAATAAGAGCGTTAGGAAATACGAAATTGTACGTTCTTTGTTAACTTTACTTTGTTATACAATTTTTTTTACATTTTTTTATAGTTTATAAATTGTCCAATTACAAGATAACTTTTCAAACATGTTAAAAGTTAAAAGTAAAATGAAACTAACAAAATTTCAGTAGGAAAAATTTAAATCAATTAAAACTGTAATTTTTTTTTAAATATAAGGTTTAAAATTATGGCTTTAAAACAAATTAATAAATATTACAAATTTGTTTAAAAAAGTGTATCGTTAATGCCAATATGGCTCGATAACAACACCTGTCCGTCCTTTGTTTGTGTTCCATGTGGAACTTTTAACCGAAAACTCACGGAAGAACACATACTGCCACTCCCACCCGCACAGCCCCCTTGAAAACCATTAAGATACGCCCCCAACAACTGCATCCCCATGCACTGCCATCGTTGACATTGCTGCCATCTTTATATCCATCATCATCATCATTATTGGCAGCCACTGGAACAATGTCCGCCTCCGCAAACGCCTCCGCATCTGCATCCGCATCCGCATCCGCATCCCTGGTATCGCACTCACATCCGCCCCTGCAACTGCGCGGCGTCATAAACAAGTACTCATTGCCATCCCATTTGCCATCCTCTGCAGCGCACTCCTCGGTGGCCGCCAAGATTACGCACGTGAAATCGGACGGCAGCGGTGGGATATCCATTTCGGGAACACCGATCCTCAGCGGTGGCACCATCAAAGTGGCAGCAGCCAATCCCGTGCAGCAAACATCTCTGGGCACACCGATTGCGTTGAATGCAGGACAAGCCACTACGGCGGCCTCCATACGAGCCATTGGGGCAGGTGGCCAGTCCACGCAAGTCCGGGTGGTGATGCCCATGATCAAGCAGCTGGAGAATGTCACGGCCACGGGAAGGACCCAGATTACGGCCATACCAGCTGCGCCGGCGAGGAGTGGGGCAAATGCATCGATCACCGTGACCAGGCCGGTGACCCAGGCCACATATCTGCCGCGAGCCAGTGTGACGGCCACCCAGATGGGAGGCGTTGGTGTGGGAGTTGGCCAGCGGCTTGTGACGCCCCTGAGAGCCACATCATCGGCCACCGTGACGCAAACGGCACCGACAGTTCTCAGCTCCACCGGAGGATTTGTTCGCGGGGCGACCGCCTCGGTGAGCAGAGGTGGCGTGGCGCTCTCAACGCAACCACCATCGGCGGTGATCTCGTCCAGCAATAGTGCTGCTTGGATGCAAGGTCCCACGGGACAGGTGCAACTGATCCGTGCCATTCCGCAGCCACGCCAGAGGATTATAACGACATCTGCGAGCATGTCCAATGCCAGTGTGGTGACCACCACTCCAGTGCAGGCGCCAACAGGTGAGTGATTGTGTGGAATCTGCTCTGTAATAGAAACACTCTAATCGAAATCCCTTCCAGCACTATCCGTCTCTGCTGGCCAGCCCTTGACGCCACAACAAGCCACGGGGCCTGGCGGAGGTCCTCAGGCTTATATGGCCACTGTATTGCCCCAACGGCAGCACCAGGCCACTCTAGTTTACTCCTCCAATGTGTCCGCGCCCAATGTGAGCCAGAATCCCGGGCAGCAATTTAATCCTCGCTTTGCAGTGGCCACGCCCGCGGGTGGAGTAACGACCACGACTCCCGGAGGAACTACTGTGACACCTCGACACGTGCGTCCCATTCCGTTGGGCAAAAGTTTTCCGGGCGGCAAGCTGAACACCACGAGCATAAGCATCCGGGCTCCAAGCATCCCTCAGCTAAATACCAGCGTTACGGCATCGCCAACACCGGTCAGTGTTTCCGGCGGAGCAACAGTGGCGCCCGGGCGGGGTCCTGGTGCTGGGGGAACTGCTCTGACGACCACCAGTTTGCCAACCACGCGGATCATCCAACTGCAGCCGCCAGCGACTGGGACCACTCAGCAGATCATCGGATCCGCTACCCGACTGGGCGGGAATGTAATGCTGCAACCCTTCTTGATGAGCACCACCGCGGCCGCTAAGATCGGTAAGTAACGTTCCCAGTTTAAAGGTAGTATTAATTACATTGCTATAGTTCAGAAATATTTAAAAAGGGTTTTACAACACTGTTTATAAAGTTGACTTGACTTGACTTTTCCACAACTATCGATAGATGTAGTAATCAATTTGGAAATTAAAAACAAGGTAGCAGGTAGCTAGGTTTTCATATCATTTGGTTTTCTAAAAAAATTTCTTAGATAGAAGAAAATGACATTGAAAATCACTTGCCCAACAACTGCGAACAATCCGTCAGTTTATGCATAAATCCTACGAGTTACTAAGGACATTTTCCTGGGCATTGTCGGCGATTAGCAAAAGCTTGGGTCTGTTGAATCTCATTTTTCTTGATTTTACTGGTTGGTAGCTTACTTTACTTTCCCGGACAGCGAAAAACCTATTATATATACAACTGATTGCTTAATTTCGAACTGGGCCGCTAAGGACTGCAGTCCCATTAGGACCATGACAGAGCGAGAATGCGAAAATCTGCAAAGGAGCCCCATGGAGTCATCTATACTTGGGTCGCCGGTGTGTAGCGATACAAAGACCTGTACGAGTCAATCGCCAACCCAGGATAAGTACAACGTGCTGGCCCTCGAGAGACAGAACTTGGAGCGATACCTCAACCTCATCCGCAGTCAGTGCCACAAAAAGACAAGTCCACTTAAATCACATTTGAGCAAGAGCACCGACACACCGACTTGTGAGATTGGGAATCCCGATTTGCCTTCTGGATCATCAACTCAAGAAGAGGATATGATTGAGACCATTGATCAACACCTCTGCAATGACCACCGCGTAGTCAAATTGAATTGTTCTCCGAAGATCTCCTTGGAGGTAAAGGAGCAACCGAAACTTCCACCGGCACCATTGGCCCTTAAAAGGCCCCTGCAACGTCGGTCTACCATCATCTTGGGGGATGACTGCGTACAAGATTTCAGGCAGAGGTCAGCGAAAAAGTGCTTGGGTAAAGAAAATCTTTTGGAACCAGCATTTAACAAAGCAGAAAGCGCCAAAAAAGCACGTGTTTCGTGTGGTTTGCAGAGGAAATCCATCATTAAACAAAAAAAGAAGACTGGAAAAAAAAAGATCGAATTTATTCCACTGAGCAAGGAGCATCTGAAGCGTTTAATAGAACTAGCTGAGGGTGACTGTCTTCAGGTGCTTGTGACCAAGTTTAATCTTAACATCCAGCGCAGCGAAATCCAAATCCTATTGAATTTCCGATGGCTTAACGATGTGATAATCAACTTCTATATGAACTTATTGACCGAGCGCTCGGAGAAGCGTATTGGCCAGCTGCCCAGCGTGTATGCCATGAACACCTTCTTTGTGCCACGCCTACTGCAGAGTGGTCATGCGGGCGTAAAGCGTTGGACACGGAAGGTTGATCTTTTTAGCAAGGACATTATTCCGGTGCCTGTGCATTCCAACGGCGTTCACTGGTGCATGGCCATCATCCATATGCGGGATAAAACTATTCTATACTACGATTCAATAGGCGGAGGCAACCAAAAAGTCCTGGACGCACTGGAGGCTTACCTGCGGGAGGAGTCGCTGGATAAGCGCAAGCTATCGTTTGACACCAGCGGCTTTCGAATTGGAAATGCCCTAAACGTGCCGCAACAGAAAAACAGCAGGGACTGCGGCGTTTTCGCCTGTATGTTTGCTGAATACCTGACGCGGGATGCTCCAATCACCTTCTCACAAGACAACATTGACTATTTTCGAAGAAAGATGGCCCTGGAGATTTCCGGCGGCGAGCTGTGGCTGTAGGCGTTTAGTTAAAATTGATTTTATTATTTATTTAAAATAAATTTTCCTTATCAAAAGTAATCCATGTTTTGTTGAAAAAAATGGTATTATGTGTGTACATTTTTTTATAGATGATAGAAAACCTTATTCTTGTATCAACATAATATTTTATTTTATTTTCCCCTCCTGCAGGCATACGACCACCTGTTACCATGACCGCAAAAGTCCAACCATCATTGACCATTACGCAGCTAAATCCGATAGGAAAGGTGTCGACCGCCGGAGGAGCTGGTGCGCCCACAATGGCACCGCAGGGCGTGGCCAGTATCCAGGCGGTACCAGTGCCGAATGTCTCCGCCAGTGTGGTTAATCCCAGTTCAGTGGCTGGGGCCACTTCGGCAGCTGGAGGAGCCACTGTCCTGCCGTTGACCGTCAGCGGAAGAGGAGGAGCAGTGGGTCCAGGTGGTAACATCCTCACGGGCACTCTGACGCCCATCAAGAATGCGCACGGCATTACTCTGGGCAAGATGATGATGACACCGGCCACAGCGGCGCCTGGTGGAGATTCATCTGGCACTAGCGGAGCCACAGTCACGGGTTTCCAACGCACATGGAATCCGGTGGTGGCTTCACAGAGCCAGTTGATGAAGGTTGGTTTTTAGCTACCAATGTGCTATGTAATTCGCTTAGCTTTCCGGGTTTCAAGATTTCACCTATAGTTCATTTTAAAAACAAATAAAGGGCTTAAACCTTTTTTTTAATTTTGGTGAAAATAAAGTTTACCCCTTTTTATAAAATGTTAACTAATTAATAATAATTTTAACTATATAAACTGCTAAGCGAACTATTCGAGTATTTATTTTAATATATTTCTTACACATTGGGTTTTGTATTAACAGATAGATGAGAAGGGAAGTGCTGCCACGATTTACTACGAATCCATGCCGGCCTCCGCCTCCACGGGGGTTCTATCATTGACCACGACCACAGTGACGCAGAGCACCCAGGCTCAGGCACAACTGGTTAGCAGCGCCGGCGGCAGCAGTTTGTCGGTGTCTTCGCTGCCCTTCGGCAGTCATGCGCCCACTGGAGCGGGATCAGCGGGTACCGGATCTCAGGCCACTTTTACTGTATTGCCGTCAGGTGCCGGAGGAGCGGCCACCCGGACGATTGGTCACCAGCAACTCATTATACCGGCAGGACCAAACAGTGCGCCGCCGCAACACATGGTTATCCCGCTGCATACATCCGTGAAGGTGACAACGGGGGCGGGCAATCCGCAACAGGCAGCAGGAAGTGCAGCGCTGGTGTCCAGTTTCATGCGCAAGCGGGATGCAGACGGTTCGCCCATTCGCGCGGCCAAGAATCTGGGACCCACCTTACTGTCGATGGCAAGTAACACCAGTGGTCCAAATATGACCCCTGCTCCGGGCACAACTTTCAATATCCAGCCAGTGTCGGTGGCGGTGCCTCCGTCCGTCGGCTCCGGACTCACTGTGGAAGCGTTGGCCAAGAAAGAACGCGAGCGCGTGGCGCATGGAGTGGCAAGCAGTGCGACCAGTGTGGCAGCCACAGTGGGCACCGTCTCCTCAACGCGAGCGACCCGGGCAGAGTCGCCAGATTCGTCAGATGGCTCAACCACAGTGTCGGCCAATTCCTCGCCTGGTGTCGACCAGCAGTTGCAGGACAGGATTGGAGATCCACCAGTAACTGGAGGTGCAAGTGGGCGCGATAATTCCACACATTTTAATCCCATCACTGAGGTGGGTACCCAAACTAGCAACCTAAACTATATCTTACTAAATTTCCGTTAACTTAAAGTTGTACTCTTCGCATCAATCGATGCAGCAGAACCTTGGCCTCTCCTCACTTGGAGGACGCAGTGGAAGCAGTGCCTTTGTGGACGTGCAAGCGCCAACGCCCCAGCAACAGCAACCTCAGCAGCAGGCGCCTCATCTGGTGGGATCTGCGCAATTGATGCAGCAGGCGGGTACGCGTATGAATGGCACTGGCAATAGCTCCAGCTCCAGCTACGATTGCTCCTCCAGGAAGAAGCCGCGTCGATCAACGTGGGTTAAACGATTTTAACTAATCAATGGCAATTGAATAATCCGCAATTGTATTTTCCAGCAATGACAGCCAGCACTCCACGCAGAGCCAGGCATCTTTGTCGCTACCTCCACCCAGTGCAGAAGCAACGCCGCCGGCTGGCGCATCCTACATGCAGAAACACAACAATGGAGGTCTGCTGGTAACAGCGGCGACCCCGGGAGTCGCTCCCAATAGTGCGCCGGGCGATGCCAATCATCGAAGCAGTGCACCCGCTGTGACGGGCAACAAGGAGAATGCCAATCCGGTGGACTTTGTGATACGCCGTCCGCGCAATTGTGCGTTGCTTAATGTAAGCTTAGCCAGGACTCCGTGCTTAGCTCATTTACTCATGTTCCCTTTGATTTGCAGACATATAAACCCACCCACAAGTTGGCCAACAACCATTTCCATCGCTATACGGATGTGAAGCCAAGGGAGGAGCGACGTGCCACAGTAATTGATCTAGCCAATCAACCAAATGTCCAGGGAAAGATTAATGGGTGGAAAATTTATCATTTGCGCTCCCAAATGGAGGACTTGGTAAGAAATTTGGTAATTAAATGGCGACATAGCCGCTTATCAACAATTTGCTCTGACGCAGAATGAATCAGAGGTTTTCAGTCTGGGAAAACTCGAGACAATGCTGCAAGAACTGGAAAAGGACAAGGAAAAGCACAGCGAAATGGAACGTGTCACCGAACTGCTGAAGGTGGGTGAATTCAGTTAATATATCTTAATTGCAAACTAACAACTTTACTATTTTGCAGGGCAACATACAGCGCAGCAAGATCATCACCGATGGCATCAACGAGGCGCAGAATCAGTTAATGAAGATCTTCGAGCACAAGCCACACGTCTCGGACATTATTAACCGATGTGCATCCAAGCGCAACTTTAAGAAGCGCGAAAAGATCTAAAATCCTTTGACAGAAGGAAGCTCAGCCAACTGAACTGTACATTGCCTAATTTAAGCAAACATATAAGATTAAAACTAATTACCTTAAACGCGTTCGATTTGTAAGACGTACAATTACAAAGAAACCAGCAATATTTTTTCAGTTTATTAAGTCGGAAACAAAAATACAAAGCACTCGAGTTGTATTATGTGTAAAATGGTTTATTATTTGAAGGGTAACCGGACTTTGCTGCAGTCTCTTAATTAATGGTGATTACCTTGTCAGAACTGCAAAGATTCCAGTGAAGCCAATGGTTAGTTAGATTTCTTGATTACATGGGTGGCGGTGGAGGGACGCCATTGAACATGGGATGCATGGCGGGACGTGGTGGACCCGGCATGGGGAATCCGCCGGGCGGTCCCAGCGCGCGATGAAGGTTCGGTGGCGGTGGCGGCATTATCTTAGGTTCGAATTTGAAGGCGAACTGCAGGAAGAACTGCTTTGTGTCGCGGTTCCAGTGCGTCCAGAATTTGCCCTCACTCTTCTCCACCTCCCGCGAGGGAACCTTGAATCCAATGGTCTCATATGGCTCGGAGGCGAACAGAAGGTACTGCCATTTGCGATCCGGGGGCTCGATCTTCTGCTCGTAGGCGGACATAAAGCGGTGACGAGGTACGATGTTCTCCGTGATCTCCGGATAGTCGATTTGGAAGAGCAGCGACTGCTGGCCGTTGCTAAGCTCCCGCTGCTTGGTCACCCGGTAGCCGGGTCGTCCGATCTTCACGAACTTCTTCGGTTCCACGCGGGGCTTCTCCGGCGCCAGCAGCGATGAGGGCGCCTCTTTGGCCTCCTTGGCGGCTCTCCGGGCTAGATTCTCCTGGTGCTTCTTGCCCTGCGTGTGGGCCAAGTAGCTACCCTCGTTGTTGTGCAGCGTCAGACACAATTTGCACTCGTAGGAACCCAAGTGGTTCTTCATGAAGTACGGGTCCTTGTTCAGATCGATGGTCTCGAGGGCCAGTTGCCGGAGGCGCTCCTTGCGGTCGCGGTTCGTCTCCGACCAGGAGGCCACGCCTCCGCTGCCGGTCTTGCCGCCGGCGCGGTTCTGGAAGTCCATAGCTTTTACTTTTTATTGATTTTCAAGACGTTTGGGGCAAAAAACGTTTTCGCGTTGGTAAAAATTTTCTGGAAATTGTTTTTGGTGGTGTAGAAAACAGGGTTGTCAGCCCTTGCGCAGTTAGTGGTGGGCGTTCACTAGAGTTATACGATAGTTCATGGCCACTACACAAAACAAACACAAAATCATCATTTGACTATTTTGAAATTGGGGTACAACATTTTGTGCAAAGAATTTTTGTAAATATCAGGAATTGAAAAAAATAATGTATTATAACCAGTGTTGGGAATAGTACTAGTTTTTTGGATCTGGGCAAGGTACAAGCTATTTGTGAAAATAAGTACTTATTTACGGTAAGAAGTAGACAATTTGTTATGTATCTAGCTAAGGTAAAAGGTACAAAAAGTTAATAAAAAACATATTTTATTGCCATTTTTTAAATTTAATCTTTGTGTAGCAGAGATATGTTATAAGAAACATCTATTATCTTGCTTGCCCGGTGGAATTAACTTTTCTTTAATTTGCAGTGAAATTATTTATTTTTTATTTACTAATTGGGGAAAAGAATACGAATTTCAATTTAGTGGTATCAACGAATTTGAAAATAAAATTTAATAAAATTATTTCATATTATAAAAATATTGCAGATAAAAAGTCTTTACCTAGGTAAGGTAAAAAATAGGCTCAAATTTGTTATACCAAACAACATATTTTCAAATAAATACCAAACTTGACTTAGTCTCTGCATTTATTATTTCATTGTAAGAGTACCAAAAATTCAATACGGACAAATTTTGGCCGTTCCCATAATTGCAGAAAATTTCGTTTGAAATTTCAGAGATTCAAGCGTTCAGGGAGTACCCTCAATGTGGTTTTAAAGATTGCTTTTACGATATATCTTAAAAAAACATGGCATATTTTAGTACATTTTTAGGAGTCATATGGTATTTTTCACTTAAGAAACGCGGTCACACTAGTGTTCGAGTTGCACATGCTTGGTCTTTTTGATAATTTAAAAGTGAAAAAAGGCTAGACAATGGTCGAAAATAAAGTAAAACAGTGTTTGTGAAGCGTATAAAGCCAGGAAAAGCGAGCTTTAGCCGATTTTCTAGACCTGGCTGTTGTCGGATGACTAAAAAATCAAACCAACGATAGGCGTGCAACAAAAACGAGTGCGAAAGAATTTCGGATTTCTGTCGTCATTTATATTGAAAAACTGTTGCGATTTTGAGGGAAGCTTCTTTGAATAGTGGTAATGGATGATCCCGGGAGGCAGGTCATTATGGGTCCACCGGCGGCAGTGGCCACCGCTTCCAATCAACCCGGTCCTGGCAATCCCAGCAGTGCCCCTCCCCCACAAGTGACCAAAGGCGCACCTCCGCCCAAGCGGATAATTAAAAAGGTTCAGCTGGATTTCAACAAGCTTAAGGAAGCGGGACTGGACAGGCAACTGGCCGAGGTCCTGAGAAATCAAAAACTTGGAGCCCGGAAGGTGGAGACCCCTTCATCCAGCATTCCTTCGCCCTCTGCCGCTGCGCAGTCGACGTCGAATGCAGCAGAGTGCAAATTGCATCAGTCACAACAACAATTTCGTCAGCCTGGTAATTCAAGTAATTTTTTTTTGATTTTGAATTTCTGTGCTTTACCCAAAAACCGTTAGCCATTCGGGGGGTTTTGCTAGGTATTCCCAATTTTGTTTAAATACGTGTACGAGTTTGGGACGTGGGGTTGAAAACTGATGCGATGGCGCAGCTGCTTAAGACGACGACGGATTGTCGAAAAAGTTCGTTCGGGTCCGATTCATCCCGAGTTCGTCTCATGGCGAATGCTTTTTAATTTTTTTTACATATTCAAATATTTTGTTTTTATTTTATAGTACAAAATATTTACACTAACAACATTAAAATGGCGGGAAAATGGCTAGGTTTCTTTGGCTTGGAGTTAGGGTTTTTAATTATTTTTAAATATATAAGCTTATTAATATTGTCTCATATTTTGCTTAGCATATTAGCTATTGCCAAAAAGCTGTCAATGACATAACAGTTCGTATATACTAATTTTTAATTAAAATAAAAACTTAATTTTTTATATAATTTAATACATTTAAATAAATTAATTAATACAATTAAAATACAATTACCGAGTAAAATGCTTAGGTTTGACCCTTAAGATTTGATTTTTATTTGATTTTTTATTTTAAGACCTATTTAAAACTTTAGATGTTATATAAAACTATGCACGAGGATTTAGGTTTCAAAATTCAAAATTGGCATTTTATTTTTATTTGGCACAAATAACCATGACTTGTTCCGTACTACTACTTTTTAAAGTTTAAAATATTTTATTTTAGTTTTTGTTGGTTTAAGTTATTTTTCAAAGGTATTAGCTTTCCTTTTTAAACAAATTAAATATAATTACTAAGAAATCTTTTGATTACAAATAATCTTATTTATACCAACATAAAAAACCAAACAAACAAAAACATGAAAATTTATAAATTATAGTGCGCCTGCATGGGTGGACTATTTTTTTTTGAATTTTCACGCTGTGAACTAACTTTAAGTGTCACTTTCGCCACTCCCATTTATATTCTTTCGATGGTCCAACTTGTAAGTGCGCGGTGCAAATGAGGTTAGGGACGAAATGTCGTTGCGAAGCAGCGGTTTTCGCTTTTTGGCCCGGGTTCAAATCCCAGCATGGCCAAACTGCTGTTTGTGTATGCGATTGTTTTTGTTATAATGTGATGTTCTATCTGGTTTTATTTACTGTTGCTATTGCTTTAACTATGATTTCTATCTTCGGCGGAAATGGTTTTATAATTCCATTTTGTAAACATTGTTATTACTTAACATAAGTAACATGTCGACCTCAAAAGACATCAAATTTAAGAACTGTAAGCCAATAAATATATTTTATTTAATTTAAATACCATTTGTACAAATAACTAAATGTTTAAAATAGTAAATAGTAAAACATTTAGTTATTTAGTTATAAAAAAATTAACATATGCTTTTCATGCTGGTCTCTAGTCAATGTAAGCACAATGCAATTAGTTAAAAAAATCAAAGGGTGAAATTAGTATAAATAAAATATACTTAGACTACTACATTTGCTATGTAAAATTGATACATACATACATTTGATATTTTCAGCCCTACTCTTCCCTACATTAACGATTTTATTTTATCACTTCACAGCACCGCAGCCCTTGGTGAAGCGATTTATGATTTCGGAGTTTATAGAAAAGACGGTGCCCATACAGACGTCACCAAACCCAACAGTGTACAACACGACAAATGCCAATCGTTCAATGCACGTCAAGACGTTGTTAAAAAACAGGATACTTAACAAGAACATGACCACCAACTCGCAGCCTCAGCAGATGGCAACAACATCCCAGGCGGCGTCGCTATCCTCTGCCCAGGGTTCAGCTTCTCGGGCTGCAGCTCCTCCTGCAGCCTTCTCCATGCCCATTGCCAAGGCGGACTTGACCATCCGCCCAAAGCAGCAACCACTGCTGCTCAATCTTGTGAATCAACTGCCCAAACATCGAGCCATGTGCGGACCGAGTAACAAGTCGTTGATGAAGCAGCAGCATACTCCTGGGCAGCAAATTTCACCAAATCCACAGAGAATAGCAGCACAGCAACCCATACAGATTTCCACACAACTCCAGCCACAACATCCGTTTCAGCCAGCTCCAGAAGTTCCTGTTGATCAATCAGTTTCAGTGGTGTCCCCAAGACTCCACAAGAGCCCCTCGCCGCCACTTATTGTTCTGGAGAACAAGGTGTTGGCACCCAACGAGAAGATCGATTTAAGTGGACTGCGTCTGCCAAATGCTCCGGTGCCCACAACTCTGTCACAGGCAAAACCTTCAGAGACCAACGTTCAAACCAGTCTTCAATCCAAGATTATTAAAGGCAAGGTTATTATGAACGTCAACAAGTTCAAGGTCTCGCGGGAAAAGCTGGCCGAGATGGCCAAAGAGATTCGGCAACAGGCGAATCAGGTGAAACTCCCTGCAACACCGGAACCAGCTTCCTCAAAGGGCATTAATTCAACCACTGAAAGGCCATTCACTATCACGTCAATTCTTCAACGAAATAAGACGCCCCTTTTTACTCCAGCAACGCTTGAAGAAAATAACGATCCTTTAAGCAATTCAATGCTTAAAGCAAACAATTTGCCAATAAGCAATCCATTGCTTAAAGCAAACAATTTGGAATCTGGAAAGACAAAGGAGTATACTGGCGAGGTGGAGGCAGAACCAAGCCCTCTTGAACTTCCGTTGTATATTCCATCAACTCTTGAGGTAAAACTATTGCCTCAAACAGTATCCAAGGCATCAAGTACTCTTCCTGCTACTACGGAACCAAAGGAATGTTGTAAAAAGGTCACCACGAAATCAAGCCCTCCCAAACACTCGGGATATATTTCTTCAACTTCAGAAAGGGAAGGAGGGCTGCAAGAACCAAACCCTCTTGATTTTCCTGTCTATATTCCCTCAACTGAGCAGCTTACACAGTTGCCTGGAACTATGACTACAGAATCATCTTCTGATCTGCATGTACCTATTCCAGCAACTGAAGAAATGAATGCAGGATTAAGCAGACCTGCATATACTCCACTATCTCCGGAAAAAATAAGTTTGCCTGAAGGTGTAACAACAGCATCCAAAGCTGCTGACTTGTCTAAACCAGAAGTTTACCATGAGGAAGTGACTAAAGAATCAAGATTCATTGACTTGCCTAACTGTATTCCTTCAACTTGCGAAACCACGGAGTTTCCTATTAAAGAAGCTGCAAGTCCAACACAGCCTGAGTTAATTTTAAAACTGAATGAATTTTCGGAAAAGTCTAGCACGGAATCAAGCTGCTTGGCATCTACAGGGATCAAATCACCAGTAAAGAAGGTTCAAACTGCAGTAGATTTCATAGCCCAACTAGCGGCTGAAAATCCGCTAGACGAAAGCGCCTTCATGGATCTCTCGCCGGAAGAACAAAGACTAAACGCCCTTTTTGGAGGCGGTGAATATATGGGTACGTCGCCAGTCAATGAACCTGCGCAGCCCGAGGAGGAGTTGCCCATTGGAAAGATTGTCCAAATGGACAACATGAATATACTGCACGCCACTTTGGATGTACACAGCGATAGTACAAACGTACTTCGGATAAGCCCCAATGCTTTGAGGCTGCAAAGCAGTGAGTCTATTGTGGAAACGTCATTGGTTGATACTGAAGGAGTGTCAGATTCAGTTGTGGAGGAGAAGAAAAAACAAGTCAACTTGCCGGAGCCACCTGCTGAGGTCGCTACTAAGCCAAGTGTGGTGAAATCTTTGGTGTTTGAAACTTTAGAAACTCCAAAGAAAGAACCACAAGAAGATGCTTGCAGTACAGAAATAAACACAACTAATTTGGAAAACGATCATAATCCTAAGCTAAACAAATCAGAAGTGCCTTTGGAAGAGATCAAGCCAGTGTCTGATACAGAGCCTGTACAGGAGGTAAATCCTCCCGTAAAAAAGACAACTATCAGATCGAAGAAGGCTAAAATCAATTTAGTGCAACGCACTAAAAGGCCAAGCATCCCCAAGGCAATTGAGGCAAAGAAAACCAAGCTAGATTTTGAGGAGGGAGAAGAGGAGGCGATGGCTATCGATCACAGCTTGCTGGAGGACCGATACGGAGTTGCAGGAGTCGAGGTAATTGACAATTCTGTTAGCCTAAGCTCAGACAAAGTAAATCCTAATTTATTTAGTGTTAAAAACAATCCAAAGGTGCCAGCAGATGAGAAGCAGAATGAAGAAGATGCCAGAGAGTCCAGAGAAGAAGACACCAGTAAAGAAACTAGTCCACTTCAAGATGACCCAGCAAAAATGTCAGTCGAACAAGAGACATTCGATAAAACTAAAACAAATCCCCCGGAAGAACATCAAGTTGCAACCAAATCTTCAACAGAACGCGATCTAACCCAACTGTACCATCCACCGAAAATGCCCAAAAATAAGCCCAGTCAGAAAAACAGTGCTCAGGAGATCTTGGACGATTCACAACCCACAACAACGAGTAGTAATGTCTCCCTCATAGAAATCCTTTCCCAGGATGCTCCACCGCCTCAGGGAGAAGCTCAGTTACCATTTCGCAAGAAGTCTATAGAGCTTGATCCATGTGTACCAAGCACGTCGGATGTCACAGGAATTCAGGATTTAATTGGGCACTTGACTGCCGAAAAAGTGACACCACAAATCAAAAAGCTGTCGCCAACGCCGAAAGCAGAGGAACCATCGAAACCTATGACCCGCAAGAAACTTGTAAAAACGAGACCGGTTCTCAGCAAGAGATCCGCGAAATCCGGTCAGAAGGCTTCACAAGAAAAGCCAAACCATTTTGAATTCCTCCATCCAGTCAGTGCAAATGTTGGAGGTCGCATTCCCACATCCAGCACTAGTGATGATGATGGCTCCATATTTTTGGGCTTCGATAACAAGGCGGAGAATCGTTCTAAAACTCCAGTAAGAAGCAACCGAGTGAGACAAATGAAGATCAACGAAACGGACATAAGCGATGACGCAACTCCGGATTACGACGAGACCGAGGAGGAGCAGCAGCCTACAAAAAAGCAGACATCAGAGAAGAACTCTATCAGTAAAAAAAAGGTTGTGGGAGCTTTTTTGGACGATTCAGATAGCAGTAATGGAGGCCCCACCAGTCCAATGGACTTTGGGGACAACGTATCGATTGATGAAGACAGAGCGTCTGAAGTTTACCCGCAAAGGGAAGCAACTAATTGGGAAAATCTTGTAAATGAAACTGAATATGTTGTTAGTAAAGAGAAAGTAGCCACGGAAGAGAAACAGGATTGTCTTACAGAAACATCAGATGAAGCGGATAAATCTTCAGTAGTTTGTTTGACTATTAAGGATCCACCTGAAATTCAAGTAGAAACACAATTGGATGCTGCTGATGAGCACAAAGATCAAAAATCTAACAATTTTATAGAGGAAAAACAGCTAAAATCTGTGATAAATGAACATTATTCAACAATATCTGACAGTAAATCAAGAAAAAGCAGGAGAAAGTCAAACAAAGCAAGTGCACTTTCTGTCAAAGATACTTCAAATGAACCTTCTACAAGTAAGGATAGTTTAACGAATATAAGACCCAAACGGCAGACAAGAGATCGTTCAAAAACACCTGGATCTTTGGATGTTTCAGAACTAAAGGGAATCATAGAAAAGGGTACTGCTCGTGAGAAAGCGACTGAGGAAGCTCAGGAAGAGGTTAAAGATGCTGAGTATGCCAATTTACCATTAAAGACAGCAGAAAACACGATTTCAGAGGAAAATCAGGAAGAAGAAAAAAGTGCTGAGGATCCAGGTTTATCTGCGAAGTCAAGGGGAAAACGAAAACCTCGGAGTTTAACTAAAGTCACTCCTGCAACACAACTAGACGTGGTTAAAAATTCCGAATTAAAAACGGAGAGTATAGGTTCTAAAGAACCGGAGGAAGCTTTACCCTTAATGACAGCAGAAAATACAAATTCAGTGGAAAAGATGGAAAAGCAAATATCCGTTGAGGAGCCAGTGACATCTATTAAATCAAAAAGAAACCGAAAGTCGCGTTGTACCTCACCAAAAATTAAAGTCCCACCTGTTGTTCAAGATGAGGTGGCCACAAATCAGGAAGAAACATCAACAGCTATCACAGCTGCAAAGGAACCTTTTGTAAATACAGGAAATGAAGAAATTAATGTTCCTGGAGAATCTTATGATGCTGAAGCCTCTGTAAAACCAAAAGAAAAAAGGCAGTCCCGATATAGTAGGATTAAAACCGTTTCAATAACTCCCGCGGCTTCTGAACCTGAAAAAGTAGCCAATCCTGTGATAACCACTCTTACTGAGGATTCAAGGGAAGAGAATTCTTCAGAGAATGCAACCGAAGCTACCAATTCCAAAGGGAAACGCATATCTCGGAGTAAAACGCCAATAATATTAGTTTCACAAGAGAAAGGAGAAGAGGTTAATTTATCCGAGGAGCCGAATCAAACAACTAGTACTGTAAAAACTATGAAAACACGACAATCTCGAAATAATACAGCTAATAAAGTAATAGTTCCAACAGTTAATCTAATTGAACAGACTCCAAACCCAGAGATAAATTCAGAAGAACCAGAGATGAACCCTGAATCTGTTAAAGAAGAAAATCAACCGAAGGAACCGATAAAACCTAAAAGATCAAGAGGAAAACGACAAGCTCTATGTACTTCCAAATCGAATTCAACAGCTTCTCAAGATACTGCGTTTGAAATGCCATCGATAACCTCAGAAGAACCTCAGCCTGTAGAAGTAGATTCTGTGGTGGCACGGGTCAAACGGAAGACTCCATCTCGTTTAGGTTCAGTTCCACCGGATAGCACCCCCAAAGATAAAGAACCTGCACCCATAACAAGCAGAAGAAGTAATGCAGCGGAAGTATCTACTCCAAAGACGCGTAAGAGTCGGTCCACAAATTTCAGTGAGACGATTTCATCGAAACCTGAAGAGCCTAAAGTCCCAGCAAAAAGGGGAAGAAAGCGAGCGGCTCCTGTCGAAACGGAAGCCGATTCGGCCAAAAAACTAAAGATTGAGGAGAGTTCGGAAACGGTTAGTATAGTTGACTTCAATCTAAGGCTGCTGCTCATTCGAAAGCGGGAACAATTGGACACCGAAGAGGATGTTACTGAAAATGGAAAGGGTGAAGGTCCGCTGCAATGTGGCTTGTGTATGATGCGTTGCGATAAGAAAAATTGGCAAAGCCATCTGGGAGAGCACTATGGAGTGGGTTGGACGGTTGGAGACACACCCAAGGTGGGCTTACATATCATTTGGTATAAAATAAGTCTCTTAACTTAATAATTATTTACAGAAAATCACGCGCGCCTCGGTGATGACAATGATGAAAAACCATCTCCAAAACAGCGCCGAGAAGCTAACATGTCGCCTCTGCAATCACCAATTGGGCACTCCTCTGGGCATGTTGCTTCACCTGGAGGGCTGTGGCAATAAACAGCGAATTGCGTGCGACTTCTGCAACCGCTCCTACACTAAACTCTCGCTCCCGGGACACATAAGAACCTGTCCAAAGCGTCAGGTACATCAGAACGAGGATGATCAGGAGCCTGCGGATGGAGTTGTCGCTGAAACGGTGTACAGCAATGCGGGCCGTGCCAAACGGAAGTCCACAATCAAGTAAGTCCCTCGTAAATTTAAAACATTTTGTTCAAAAATATTTATTCATATTTATCTTTAGAACTTTCCATAATGTAAACATTTTAATCTAATTTGAGAAAACCATTCTTTTTCAGGGCTGAAACGAAATTGAAGAAAATAGGAGAGGAACTGACTTCAAAAAAGGCGTCAGACGAGACTTCCGCCAAACACGACTTCGATGGCGATTCATCCGACTACGACATGGCCAAAGACAATGAGTCGTCCGAGGAATATGATTCGGAAGGAGCCGATTCCAACGAGGATGCCCCAAGCACCGAAGATGAGGACAGCCTTGCTGGTAATAAACGAAACGAAAAGGGACATGTTAACAGGAAAAGGAAAATAAAACGGGCGGTAAATACGGGGGAGTGTCAGCAGAAACCTTGTGAGTAAAACTCTTATTGTGAGTAGAATTCGAAATAAATATTATTTTGTATACCACAGTACTTTCACGATATCACCACTTGGAGGCAAGGGCAACCCACAAATGGAAGGAATTGTAAGTGAACCGAGGATACACAATCTACCACAATATTAATATTTAAACTTTATTCTTAAGCATACAACGAAATTATAAAGCAGGCCCCTTGTTTAGCCAGTTCCTGCCCAGCTATTCGAAGGTTTCTCCAGAGGAAGCTAGTTTTTTGTTGCCCTCCAAGGAGACAACATCCATACGTTATGCTTATGGTAAGGTTAGCAAAGAAGACGACTGGAAACAGCTTGCACCCTTAGAGGGTTTCAACAAAAAAGGTACATAAAACTGAAAACAATTAAATTAAGGTTAACACAGTGCAACTTTCTTTGGCAGGTGAATATGTGGGCTATCTTGGCAGGCCTATTAAGCAACTCGCCTGGGTCCCTCTGCCCCCGAAAATTACGGATCAGTATTTATTATGCAACCTGCGTCCGAAGATGAAAACCTTTGCAAGACATACACAACTGAGGGATGAAGAAGCCCTCTTGATGTTGCTGAAATGTACGGTGTTATCCGACAATTCCGATGACAAATCGTGGGGTCTTCGTCCGGAGCTTCATTACGGAATTCGTGTGCCCAACGGGCCAGTTCATAGTTTCTGTTTTTTGCCCAGCGGTGGCTATGATAAGTCATCCAATCGTTTAGGCCTTTTGGCTATCGGCAGTTCTTTGAGTGATGTCCACATCTATGCTCTGCCTTTGGATCTGACGGAGGAAAAGAGTGCAGACGACAATGTTATCATTCAATTGGAATCCTTGATTACGCTCAGCTTGGATGTCAACAATCCTGTTCGGGATCAGTGCACTAAAGTTTGCTGGTCACAGGTTGGTTTTTGCAATAGTTCATTTTCCCTTATAACAAATAAATGATCGTTATTTTTACAGGCATCAGGCCACAATTTTTTAGCGACTGGCTATGGCAATGGCAACATTGCCTTTTGGGACATTGGTGATACGGATAACATTAACTGCTTCAATCGGAACAATCAAACCTATTTTATGCCTCTGACTTACTTTTACATAGGCGAACGAAATGTGCAATGTAAGTTTCACTAGTAAGGTTTATCCTAATAAGCATTTCTTATTTATTTGTTCCTTCTCCTTAGTTATGGATATACATTATGATAAAAATGGACCACGTTGGCTTGCGGTTGGCACTTCCATACGTCAATTTATTATCTACGATATTGCGAATTGGTCCCAACCCGTCATACTGACTCAGGACACCATCTGCACTCTATATATGGCTAATATGACTTGGTCCCCTATTTGTGAAACACTAGTCGTTAGCAGTTCACGTAAGCTCTCCTTCTTTAACTAAGGGGAACACATATTGATAAGATATTGCTTTGCAGATTTTAATCGCACAATAGCGGTTAGTCCATCGGGTATACAATTCGATCATCGGACCCTCGATGGAACCCTTACGACCACACGTGAAATGCACACGAATTGCCAGCAAAATCACATGGTGTTCGTGACGGACAACGGTGATCTGGTATTCCTGGATGTGCGAGATCTCAACTGTGGGCCCGCTCTGCTAAAGTCGGTGACCAACAGACGGGTCGTATCCACAACTGAGTTGCATCATCTGGGCGCCAATGCTCCGAAGGCTAAAGTTCCTATTAACGCGGATCAGTTTCTTCGCGACTATGGAGTGCAAATCAATCCGCTGGTCCCCGCGCCCCATAGAAAAAAATCCTCTTACCTGGACGCCAAGCGTCGACCACAAAACGTACACACTTTGGCCCTAACCAGATTCAATTGCGTTCGATGCAATTGGAACTCGCCCGCCCACACTTGGGTGGCCATGGGCGCTGAACATGGACTGCTGCGGATCCTTAATTTCGATCGAGATAAATTCTTCTAAAGGACATCTCGGTGATCTCTCTCTGGCATCTAAAAATCTTCTGAACAAGCAACATCTGAGATTATAAATTATTGTTTTACCACATAAGTTGATTACTTTTAGGACTCGTCATAGGACGGTTATAATTTATATATATTTGTTGTAAAAATATATATATTATATATAATATTTTATATGGAGTTATCGTAGTTTATAACGAAATATTCTTGCTTTGCAAATAAATATTACTACTTGTAATATAAATAATCCATTTTCTTTTGAATGGTAAAAGTTGAATGTCATTAAAAGACTAAATAATTATTAACTTTTAGCCACCTCGAACAACCAGCGAAAATCCGAAAAAAAGAAACACAGTTAATTACAACATATTAAATATATTGATATATTTTTTCCTTTTATCGGTAATATTATTTTCCGTTAATACTATATGCAAGTTTAACAATGATAGACGGGGATTTCTTTACAGCTTTCAGCGATTATAAAATAAAATTCAAATATCGGATGTAAAATGATTTAAAATAGTGTGTATAATTCGGTTTTATTAAATAAAATATAAACACCTCTCGCTAACTTGGCGTAAATAAATAAATTGGCAAAAATGCGTGGCTTACAACTTAATCGGACTATGCTAAGTGAATCGACTGAATGCTCCTTGAAGTTTAGACCCAAACAGCTACAGATATATATATAGTTCATATACATAGACATACATATAGTACAAATAGATTAAGAATTATCGAACAAATGCTTGCAAACACTTTAAAAACCCGAACAAATGCAATTATGCCTTAAAATTTTGTAAAACAGAATTCGTTGGTTGAATGAATAACACTAGATAAGCATACATACATTATATGGATATATATATATGTATATATAGGTATATATGTTTTTTCTTACATTGCTGTTGTCTTTTCTATGGCTGCAAAAGCAGGCCGGTTAACAGTGCGTTAACAGTGGCTTAACATTTCTTGCGGCTTTTCTGCAGTTGACCTTCAGTCTTCGCTCTTAGTTATAGTTTGCTGCAATTTTCCTCTTTCTTATCTTCACAATCTGAATCTCTCGCTATGCCTAACCGAAAATCTATGCAAATATTAAATTCTATAAACAAATTCATCCATCGCAAACGCAACAGGACGCGAACCTAAATCAAACATAAATTAACAGCAAGTTAACAGTGATTTCCGGTCCACCTTTTGGCTTCCGGTTTGCAATTTGCGAGTTGGGCTCCTCAGGCAGAGTTGGCCCGATTACTTCTCGACAACAGCTGAAGGATTCGACCGATTGCCAGCCAGTTCCAGCTGGATCTCGTTGAGACTCTTGCCCTTGGTTTCGGGGACGGCGAAGAAAATGAAGAAAACTCCCAAAACTGTGAGGCCGGCAAAGAGCCAGAAGGTGCCACCGATTCCCATGCTGGCGTTCAAGTCCTCGAATGTCTTGGTCACCACAAAGGCCAGCAGCCAGTTGGATGTTCCGGCCAGCGATCCCGCGAATCCCTTAATGTCGGTGGCGAACAGCTCGCCCATCATCAGCCATGGAACCGGTCCGTAGCCCATCGAGAACATGACAATAAAGATGCACAAACTGGCCACTGGGAGCCAGCCCAGACTGTCCACACTATTCGGGTCCTGGGTCTGAAGATAGAAGTATACTCCGATGGCGGTAGTGGCCACGGCCATGGAAATTCCAGAGGCCAGCAGCAGGATGCGACGGCCCAGTTTATCCACCACCATGGTGGAGACCAAGGTGGCCACCACCTGCATGATGCCGATTATAATGGTTGCCCACTGGGCTCCAATGCCAGTTTTGGCTTCCTGAAATAAAAAAAAAATCGATGATTTAGTCATTTATCCTTAATTATTTACAGAAAGTCTACAATAGTAATAATTGAAAATCCTTTGAACTAAACAATGTCATATACTTTTTTGCACTTGGCAAGCTAAAATGATTTAACATTATTAGTTGATCAAAACTAAAAAGGAAATGAAAATATGTTTCTTTCAAAGGACAATTTTTTTTCGGATTTGTTTGAATATCATTTTGAAGTGTCTCGATATTGCTTATAGAAGATCTTTTACTATCTAAATCTCGGAACTGACTTCTCTCCCATGCATTTTCAGTATAGACCCAATCCAAACTCACCTCAAAGATCCTCGACGAGTAGAAAATAACAGCGTTGATGCCGCACACCTGTTGGAAGAACATAAGACCCATGCTGATGGCCAAAGCCTTCCGGGTGACGGGACGGTTCAGAGCGGCCCACACATTGACCTTGTTTGCCTTGGTTTCCCGATCGGTTTCACGCAGTTCCGCAAGTTCTGGCTCGTAATCGTACTCCTTGCCACGCAGCCATTGAATGGACTTGATGGCGTTCTCCGACCGATCTTTGGCAACCTGTCGATAGGGATTTAAATATTAGACACTTGAGAAGGAATTTCTGATGGGAAACTCGTTGTGTTTTTCATATCTTTTAGATATCCGACTTGGGGTTGCCCTAGATAAATTCGTGATTGACTGGCAGATTATATCTACTCAATATATTATAATGTTACTTTTTTGAGGCGTCATTATTGACGTGAGAAAAAGTTTTTTTGTTTTGTTTTTGTTTAAAGCACGGTAATGTCTTAAAATAATTATAATTTACTTAACAAATAAATATTCATGTTCGACTTTACTTTAACTGGTCAAAACATGAAACAAAATATTTTTCCTTTAAAAACTTTGTATACAATTAAAAACAGATAGAATTGCAACTTTTAGTTAAATAATTTGTAAACTTACCAAATAGGTAGGCGATTCCGGCATGAAGAAAAATATGACGCCAAAGACGAGGGGCAGAATGCCGCAGACGCAGCTCACCCAGAAGATATCCAGACCGGCTCCGATGGCGTAAACGAAAAGGATACCAATGGTTATCATCAGCTGGAAGAAGCTGCCCAGCGTTCCGCGAATTTCCTTCTGGGCAATCTCACCCGTGTACATGGGCGCGGTCACGCAGAAAGCTCCGCCGGCGATACCCAGGATAAAACGAGAGGCATACAGCATACCCACGTTGGTCGCCCAGATGAGCATGGCCCAACCAAGGATGAAGGGCAGAACCAGGAACAACATGGTCCACTTGCGGCCAATTAGATTGATGAGGAAACCAATGGGAATGCACACACAGGCGGCACCCAGCGTCATCGCCGATCCCACCCACGAGAACTGGGTTTTGTCGACGGGGAAATCGTATCCCCCATCATCATTATCGACGATCTCTGTTCCGGCCGGAGATGTCCAACCCAACAGGGTACCGCAAGCGAAGGCGCCTCCAGCTGCTGCCAATGCGGCCACATATTGCGGCAACTTGCGCGAATTGTTCGACGTCGACGTGTGCACCATGTTGCCGAGTAGATTCTCGTGATCCTGCAAATGAATAACAAATTCATTAAGTAACTTTTTTATCACTGCAGTTTAGTTTTTAAAACACTTCATATTTTTTATTAGATTGATTAATTAAATAATTGTTAATAAACCTTTTTGTTTTCAGGTCGTTTCCGAAAAATCCAGTAACTAAGAATGGTTTAAAATATTTGTTTTTTTTAACAGGTTTGAAAATGAAAACTATCATCTAGGAACTAGGACTCTGTTTAAGTTGAAAGTGAAACTGGCAAATATATATATTTCTATTTAACTATTTTTTGAGAATTTTTTTTCTTTTGCCACTCTATAAATAAAGCCAATAATTAGATCGCTCCTTGAGAGTTTTACCTTTCCCAACTCTAAAGAGATCGCTTTTAATTAGATCGTTCTGCTCTGGCCAACTGACTTAGACTGAGGGCCAGCTATTAGCTACCTACAAGTACTATCGTTCCACGGGTCGTGATAAGGTCCCCGAACCCCCCTGCGCATTGATAAGGACATTTATTGGCGGCCCGATAGTGGGCAGCCCGTTGAATGGCCGTGCACCCATATTTATTGCACTCTCCCGGACCCCAAAAACTCGGGGCTATGCTCTGCTCTTTCCGATTGGGCTCAAGTGCTTCATTATTTCATTATGCCGGTCACATAAACAGAAGTCGTCTCCTAAAATCGAACATGTTCACGCACCCTCGCTACCCGATATCATTCATACGCCGTGTGGTTCGGTTCATTATGCTTCGGACAGGTGAATCCCTTAAGACCACTGCGGAATCGGTGGGAAAGTTTTGAAGTTGCTGATGCCTAAGTCAGTGAGGGGTCTTATAAGCTTAAGTCTATAAAATTAAGCCGTAAAATCCTATTATTATGTGTTTCCACTTGAATGTTTTAAGGCCGACACTTGATCAATGAAACTTCTACTTATAAACATAATCTGATAGAGAGCCAAAGATAAGAAAGAGATTAAGATTATGGAAATTACTTAATAAAGCGAATGAATACATATTTGTATTTAAGGATTATATAAGACCACTAGAAGATAATCTTATCAAAAATATAAAACATAATCTTTCAAATATATATACTAAAAACAGCTATGAATATTTTGCAATTTACTTGTTTCCATTCTACTAAAAGATATTTTTAGTAGCATTCCCCTTCTATTTTCGTCTTTCAAGGTGTTAAGGATCACTCAAGCAGCACCAATTAACTGTATTTGACCACCTTGTTAGCCATACTCATTGACTTCCGTTCGTTGGGCCATAAATTACTATATAATCGCTATATATGTTTATATAGCTACAGTTATCGCGTGCCTAATCAGTGAATTGCCGAAATTCCAGCTACAAAGGTGTAGAAGAATAAAGTGATCGGAAGAATCAGTCGGCTATATTGGAGCTTTTTTTTATCGAGAGCTTTTTCAAACATTTTTCCATGTTTATAAACAAAACTGATTCAAAGCCTATGGATATGCGATTGGTGCTTTATTGTCTGCTCATAAAAGGGGTGTGTCGTTTATTCAAATGAGTGGCGGGCTTGCATATTGATTAAACTTGACCTTTGACAAGGAATCCTGGGCATTTTACAAATTATTTAAATATCCCCAATCAAAAAATAAGAAATATATATTTTTTGTTTATTTATGCTTTGATGATACCCAATAAAAGCAATGAATACCTCAGGTTTAATTAAAATTGCTGCTTCTATATAATTTTTACTTATCGCACCTGCTGTACGTGATATATGCTTATTTGGTCAAATAAAAAAAGGGGCCTGTGCTTATTGTTTTTCTAAATGAAAAGAAACTCATAAATAAAATCAATATTACTTTATTTGTAAATGAGTTTTTTATGCCGAAAAAAAAGCCTGTTCG